TTCATCCAAATATAAATTTTATTGATTTAGTAAATTCTTATGTGTTTAATTTTTATTTTACTTTGGTTTCACAGATGTGCAAGAGTTACAACAGACTTACAGACTTACAGTTTTGGAAAATATCATCCTAATATCAATAACATCAGTAAACTCTAGTGAATCAGGGTTTTTCCCTCTCTTAAAGGAAAAATAGGGGGCTAGAGAGATGGCTTGGTGGTTAAGGCTGCTCTTGCAGAGGAGCTGGCTCAGTTCCCAGCACTCACATGGCAGCGCATAACTATCTCTAACTCCAGTTCCAGAGAATCTGACACTCTCTCTGGCCTCTGTGGGTACCACACATGCACATGGTGCACATATGTACATGCACAAAAACACTCATACACATAAAGTTAAAAAAAATCTAAAGAAGAAAATCAATGTTCAAGCTTGATGAACACTCCAAGCACAAGGTTTATGTTTGAGTGTCAGGGCCAAATCATGAACAAGAAAGTATACAGGTGTGCTGGATAGCTTTAGTGTCAACTGGACACACCTGGGTTGAGGGAGCCTCAGTTGGGGAATTGCCTCTATTGGACTGGCCTGTGGCCATGTCTGAAAGGCATCTTCTTGATGAGTAATGTGGGAGGGCCCAGCCCACTGTGGGTGGTGCCACCCCTGGGCAGGTGGGCCTGTGTTACATAAGACAGCAGGCTGAGTAGGGGCCAAGGGAGCAAGCCAGTAAGCAGCATTCCTCCATGGTCTGTGCTCCAGCTCCAGCCTCCAGGTTCCTGCCCTGAGTTCCTACCTTGGGCTCCCTGATGAACTGTGACCTGGGAGATGCAAGATAAATAAACCCTTTCCTCCCCAAGTTGGTAGTGGTCAGAGTGTTTTGTCACAGCAATGAAGAACAAACTAAGACAACAGGTATATGAGGGGAGAAGGTGAGGAACACAAGAAGGAAGCTTCTGTAGAGGTCCAGATATCAGTATTTTTGAGAGACTGCAGAATTTCACATATTGCATCAATTCACAATGTCAGGGAGCCAAAAAGAGAGGGCAGAGAAAGATCCCAGATGAGTCCAGCAGCTCTTGACTAGACAATTGCCAACAAGACATCAGCGCCAGGATAAAGGGGCTATCTACCAACTGATTTCCATCTGTTGAAGTGAGACAGCGTTTCAGCACATAAGTAGATGGACAGTGAAGAGAGAAAAAGGAAATTGACATGCAGACATCCTGTCTGGTGGAGCACACCAGAGAGAAAGCCATGGACACTGATGGAAAAATACTGCAGAATCAAAGTAGAAGAAGACATCACCCTAAAGAAGCAGAGAAAGAACAAGCCTTGGAAATCAGCTTACTACAGAAACCAAAGCCAAGTTAAGAAATTGGCCTCGTTGTTAGAACACAAGGAGATAGAATTCCTATGTACCAACAGTAAAAAAAAGATACAAGACACCAAGCTGATATGCAAGTAAAACAGATTGGGATCAGAAGACAACAAAAAGTAATGGATGGAAATGTTACAACATCATGTAAATCTCTAATGAAATTAGTAAAGAACAAAAATGTCATTCCTGAAAAATCAATGCTATAGAATGTACGTAGGCTGAAAGATTCATCTCAGTAGTAGAGCTTGCCTAGCATATGCAAGACCCTGGGTTCCATTCCCAACACTGAAAAAAAAAACCATTTTAGAATAAAAATGAAAAGGAAAGTCACAAAAACTAGAAATGTGTGTTTGTACTATATGTATCTAGAGCAGGAGCTAAAGTATTCTCATAACCCATAAATTCAAAAGACACACATTAAGAAACTGAAATGACTTAACAAATACTCTTTAAATAAAAATATAAGAATGTGCAGCAAGTACATGAAAAAGTTCAACATCATTAGTTATTAGAGAAATTCAAATTGAAACCATGAGACAGTATTTCACACTCCATTTCAGAGCTAAAAGTCAAAGGACTGATAATATTAAGTACTTTAAAGATGAACGACTATAACTCTCATACATTACTAGTAGGAATATAAGTAATACAAGCACTTTAGATATGGCTTTAGGGGTACTAAATCATAAGTTTAAGTTTAGAAACTGAAACATATGCTTATCATATGATTTAGCAATTCTATTCTTGAGAATTTACCCAAGAGAAATGCAAGTTATATCCAAAAAAGTCTTATACATGAATATCACAGCATAATTTTTGAAATGGCTAAAACAATCTAAGTATCTACAAACAGGGAAGTGGGTAAAATGTGGCTTATTTATACAAAGAATCACTAATAAGTTAAAAAGAGAGTAAATTACTGACATCAATGGTGATATGGAGAATTCTTGTACCATGCTGAGTACAAAGGCAGACACACAAGAGTACACAATCAATGGATTCTAGAAGCAGCAGAACTAACCTCTAGAGACAGAAATCAGTGGTTGGCTGGCATAAATGCAAGGAGAAATGAGTGGATGGCACAAGAGGACTTCTGGGATAACAGAAATGGTCTGTCATGCGTCACTGAGCAATCTCATAGGTGTCATATGTGGGTCAAATCTCACTGAACAGTACCTTTAATGTACACATTCATTATATGTAAATCATGCCATGGTAAAGCTGACTAAAAAGAAAGGTGCCACATTTACATCTGTCCTAAAGTTCTGAATTGTGTGAAATCCTGTGATGATGTAGACAACAATGTCAGACTTCTTTCCAAAGAATAAAATTTGATATCTGATGTCTCCTCAGAAATACTAAATAAGAGATGATAGCATCTGCAGTCATTAAAGAGAGAAAAGAAGTCACTTAAGAAATTTATATCTAGAGTTGGGTGTGGTAGTCCACACATGGAATCCCAGCCTTCAGGGGGCAAAGACAAGAGTGTCCCGTTCAAGGCCAGTCAGTATTACTTATCCAGGCCTTGCTTCAAGAAAAAATTTTATTATCTAGTCAAGAATTGTTCATGAGTGAATACAATCACAGCTAATCAAAATACAAGAGAGCACTTAAAAAACAAACTATAAATCCACTCTTGTAAAAAATTTTTTTGAAGTCTTTTCTCAAACAGAAAGATGATTTAAACTTAAAAGCTCAAGAAGGAATACATAGTCTAAACATGTATTCAAAATATGATTTGAAATTAAGTAAAAATGTAAAACAACCATAGTAATTCCTAGAAGATGTAATACAAAAGCAAAATACATTGAAAACTTGCATTTAAAATCCAAGATTTTATTAAATTCCCCATTTCTCTAAAAGAGGGATATTATACAAATATGCACATAGACTTGGGCAAAAAAGAGAAAAAACACATAAATGAAATTGATAACCACGGCTGCCTTTGGTGCAGGATTATAGTTTAACTGGTCTACTGTTTAGTTTCTGTCAACTTGACAAAAAATAGAGTCACCTGGGAGGAGGGAACCTCATTTCCTCCATCAGATGGGCCTATGGCCAGGTCTGTGAGGCATTTCTTAATTGTTAATTGATGTAGGAGTGCACAGTCCACTGTGGGCGGTGCCATCCCTGGGCAGGGGGCCTGGACTATATAAGAAATGTAGCTGAACAAGCCAGGGGAGCAAGCAAGTTAGCAGCTTTCCTCCACAGTCTCTGCTTTAATCCCTGCGTCCAGGTTCCTGCCTTGGCTTCCCTCAATGATAGACAATAAACTGTAAGATAAAATAAACCCTTTCTTCCCCAAGCTGTTTTTGGTCAGTGTTTCATCACAGCAACAGATACCAAACTAGAACAGCTGCGAAAGAGAAGTAAAAGGAGACTTTATTGAGGTTGGAACGTAGCTGAACTGGTAAGAGCGTTTGCCTGTCCCCTGTCCACACATCCATGCCAGTATTTGCTGTCATTTATTTTATTATCTTAGCCCTCTAATTGGGATAAGATGACATCTAAAAGTAGTTTAAATTTGCATTTCCCCGATGGCTAAAGAGATTCAATATTTTAAAAATTATTTCTTGGCTGTTTGTATTTCTTTTTAGAGCTTTCTGTTTAGTTCCACTCATAAGTTTTAATGAGGTTGTTTGCTTTTTATTGCGTTATGTTTTCTGAGTTCCTTGTTAATTCTAGACACTAACCCTCTGTCAGATGTATACTCCACTCTGTCGGCTAGCTCTTCACTTGAATGCTGGTGTCCTTTGCTATACAGAAGCTTTTTAGCTTCATGAGGTCCCATTTGTCAATTGTCGGTCCTAATGCCTGCACAACCCTTTACAGACAGGATCTTGTGTATCTCAGGCTGACCTTATGTGTTTAAATTGGAGTACCTATAGAAAGCAGGAAACTAGTAAGGACCCATGAGAGGTATTTCAAGGAAGAGTATACAGTGCAGGTTGTAAGAAGAGGCCAATATTTTAAAGTACATATTAAAGTATGTGGGAAGAGACATATTTTATATCAAGAAATATTACAGCTACAAAAATTTTATTGGGATCTCAACTGGAAGAGTTAATTACTAAATAAACAAGTGATTCACAAGTAAAACCTGGATGAGTCATTAGTTCTTGCCTCCATCTTTCCAACATACCTTCAGTTTGAAATGTCAGTGTGGACAAATAGTGTACAGAATAGACCCTTTACCAGAACAACTCCAGTGAGCTGGCTAAGGTGAGCAGTATCTCTCAGCATAATGAATAACCACGTACAGACACCATGTCCAAACCACAGAAACTCAACCATAATAGTGTTTCCATGACACACTTGCCTGACCAGAAAGTGTTCAACCAGGACCACCCACTTCTGCCCCACAAACACCAGGTGAAAGCAACTGCTGAAACCATCTATGAATTGATGACTTTGGCATGAATAGTCCCCAGCCCCACACCCGGACTCCCCAGTGCCTTTTCCCTCCCCTGTTCGTTTTCTCTGGAAGGATTTTTTTTTTTTTTTATAGTATGTTCATTTCCAACATAACTAATAAAGCAGCTCTTTAAAGTTTAGAAAAATACTGATTATTGGGTTCCTGGGTCCAGCATGTGTGCAATACCTAAATAAGCAAAGAACACATTTACAGTACCTTCCCGAAGTGGTGCTGGCTTGGCAGAATTTTCTCCACTCATTAAAACAACAAAAGATGCAGCTGCTCGTACTGTAGCCTGCCATGTTGACATGGCAACTGGTGGTTCCTGGCATGGAAAAAGGGCTCTGTTGTTTATGGGGGATCCCATAGTATAAACACATAGCCTGCAGAAGAAAGACAAAAACACAAAAGGGTAAAATCTTTAAAATGAGTTGTTGCTTTATCTCACCACCATGGTAGCAAGTTATATTGTGCTTTCAAAGTAGAAACATTTAGGGCTTTGTAGTCGACTGGTTTCAGAGCAGAGTGAAACCGCATTGGTACTTGCTATGTGAATGGTGCAGTGGTTATCCGCCCCCCCCAATGAATTACTTAAATATGGAGGTGTGCTTTTTTTTTTTAAAGGAGAAAAATATTCTTTTGGATAGTTTTAAATACTTGCCCGCCAAGTTATAATTTATAGCACCCTTGCTAACCTCCCCTTAGGTCCTTATTGCTTTCAAAAGAAAAGTTTTAGAGACATTCTTACAAACTTTTTGGAAAGTATTCTGGAAAAGAAAATATGCTTGGAGATCACTGAGATTATGAACACTTGGAAGAACAAGCTGGAGGTCTCAGGTCCAGTACTGGTGGGTAATACCCCCAACCCTGGAAATCATCTTTTCAAGTGGAGCTCTTGTGAGAATCCTTGTGTGGAAGCCAAGAACAGGGGTTGGTACAAACAGTCAAAATAACCAGGCTTGTGACAGGAGGCCAAGTGAACAAGATCAGTCCCAAAGCAAAGTACGAAGCCATTAGGATTCGTTCTGCTACAAGTGAAAAATACAAACCCTCCCAAACCAAGAAAAGCCCCTTTCCATGACTAAGCTACGGATGCCTGGGATGGCAAAGACCTTTGCAGTCAAAAGAAGCTGGTCTTCTGATACCACAGAGAAGGCACAAGACTCCTCAGGGGAACGTCTGAGGAAAAGAAAACATTGCCACATTTGGTTTTTTAGGGGACAAATACATTGCTTTATCAGCTTAACTTACAGCATAAATGATCACTACTTCTTGCAGATAATTTATTTTTTACTAACATCATTTTGGACATTAATTTGTTCCACAGTGTACAACACACACACACACACACACACACACACACACACACAAAGATGGCTGTCCTCTATCAGTCAGGCCAGTAAGGAAAAGAGAAACCAGTCTAGGGCTTGAGAAGCAGAGAGAACTTAATACAGAGAACTGCTATACAATCGATAGAACTGAGATACAAAGTTGGGGGCAGGGCGGTAACCCAGAGATTAGTCGCAGTGGGCAACAGCCATGGTTGCTCAGACTGCAAGAGTCAATGTTACTGATGTTACTGGGGACACAGCAGCAGTGGCCACCTGGGGATGGGGGAACTGTCCAGGAAGAGCTAGGACCACAGAGGCAACTCACAAGTGAAGGTGGGGAAATGCTTAGTTTCACTCTGATTTTCTGCCCATCAAACCTAGCTGGAAGAAGGAAGACAGAAAAGCTGGGCAAGTGGAGCTCCCTGCCAGTCTGAGATCTCAATTAGAGCAAAAAGTGGGTCTTAGGGCAAATGCAAGATTGTGGCACACGTATCCTACATATGCATATGCATAATAACTCAAAATCAGAAAGTCAGAATGCATTACTTCCAAGCCAGGCATGGTGGCACAGACCAGTAATTCCAGCACTGGGCAGGTGAAGACAAGAGGATTAAGAGCTCAAAGTCAGTATCAGCTACACAGCACGTTACAGGCTGCCTAAAAATACATTACTCCCAGCTGGTTTGCCGATTGAGGAAATGATGGGTGTTATGGCTGTCCTGTCCTTTCACCTCTCTATCATATGGAAAATGGGGTGGAGGGGGTAAGTGACCTCTTTGACCAGTCAGTAACTTTTTGGCTCTATATCTTGGTTTTTAGATTTGAGAATAAAGACAAAATTTTCAAATGTGGCCCAGAGTCTCCCATAAATTTCAACAAACGTGAGCCCCCACTCTTGTCCCTTTGGTTTGCTGGTTAATTGACTTAACCTTGGTTAACTGTCCAGCCTCAGCTATTTCAAACCCTAATGAGGAAGATCATTAATGCTCACCTTTTCCCAGTGGCAGAGTTGGTGGGGGGGAATCCTGCAGTAGCACAAATTGCTCAGACAGCAGGATCAAAAGAAACCCAATTCAGAAAATTCAACTTTTAGGGCTCTCTCTCTCTCTCTCTCTCTCTCTCTCTCTCTCTCTCTCTCCTCTCCCGCCCCCAGTTGCTTTTTTTTCTAAGAGGAAAGTCCCAAGAAGAAAAAGAATCGGTATGGAAAGGGGAGGTATTCTCACTGGCTAACAGGTGCAACTCCTGCTTCCTTGACATTGGCAGACACTAAACAGGAAGGCTTTCTTTCTTACTGAGGCAGAATAGACCCCATAACTTTTCTTGTTCAAGAATATCAGGAAATCCGTTCAAACCTGTGTACACTTGTGGAGTTAACTATTTGTAAAGTTAACAGGGATGTGAAAGCCCTCATATGGAACACTCCTAAGACCACTCTTCTGGTGCACAAGGGAGAGATGGGTGGCAGTTGCAGGGAAAGACCCAGCATTGTGAGCTCAAGTCCTAAAGCATACAGAACAAGTCTCAAAGTGTGCTCTCAGGGTCTCAACTGTCTTGTTGTGACAGGGCTCCCCTTCTCTACACAGGGAACAAATCCTTCCCCAATGAATGGCTTGCAAGGCGTTCTCTTTCTCAATGCAGTCTCTTATTCTCTACATTTTGGTCAGTTGTGGCCTTCTCTGTTAATTGCCCTCTGTTGCATGTGGAAGCTTCACTGGTGAGAGCTGAGCGATGCATTAGCATTCCCTCTACCTCCAGTTCTGCTATGTTCCCTGAGCCTTAGATGTAGAATTTGCATTGTAGATGTGTGTACTTCTTCTCTGCATGTGACCAGTTGTGGAACTCTGTAATAGTCTCCATCTGTTGCAAAAGAAGCTTCTTTGATGAATGGTGACAAGTAAAGCCTGATATTTTTTTTAATATGAATTCTGAGGACTGAACTAGGTCATCCTGCCACCCAAGTCATCTTTCCAGCACAGAGCTAGGATTTACTAAGTAATTTGAAGATGCAGAGGGGAAAGGGAAGAGTTCTCTCAGGTAGGAACTTGTAAGCTGCCTCCCTCTGTGACCCCGCTCTGGCCACTCACACGCATTTATAGTTACCTCCTATGTACAGGTTGGTCTCTGTGACCAATGACAGAAGTAATGCAATATCATTTCTGAGATGAGATTAAATTAGAAAACCAAAAATCGCTGGCTTTTGTCTTACAGGCTCTTTTTTTGTTCTTTTTTTCGGTAGCACATTTTTAAAAATTATATACTTTTAACTGAATTTTTGTCATTTTCATACAATATACTCTAATGGTATTTAGCACCCCTCCCCTCCTCACACATCTCCTTATTGCCCCTCCGCCCAATTTAATGTACTCTAATAAGGCCTAGAGAGTCTAATTTGTGTCCCCAAACGGCCTTCAGTGTGGGTCTTATTCAGCTATATAGCAAATTACAGACAAACATAGGCTACATGAGACCCTGTGTCAAACCATTTTTAAAAATTTATGTGATGAGTTTTAGGAAGTAGTAAATATTGATATTATAGGTGGATTTCAGTTAGAGTATCAACAAATCAGAGAAAAATTCTTCCATTAACTGGGTTCCAAAACATCCTGTCATCCCCATCCCTTTCCTCCCGAATCCTGTAGGGTATCCTCACTGTCTAGTTCAGGAAACTATGTTCTTCAGTTTTATCTGACCCTCTCTGCCATCTTTCTGCCACTTGTGCCTGTATACCTGACCTCACCTACCATGGGCTTAGTTACCAGACTCCTAGGAGGCACTCACTTCAACTTCCCAATGTCCTCACAATTTTCTTTGCTTACCTTCCTCTTTGGGGGCCGGGGGTTGTAAAAGGGGTTGGTTTGAGCCAGGGTCTCACTTTGTAGCCCAGACTGGCCTTGAACTCATGAATTCTCCTGCCTCACCCTCCCAAGTGCTGGAATTATAGATGTGAGTCACCACATTCATCCCCCTAGCTGCCTCCTGTACGTGTTTGTGTATGTGCATGTATATACAGTTTATGCATGAGGAAACCTTGGGTGCCATTCCTTGGGAGCACTCCACCAGGTTCTCTCACTGAACCTGGAACTTACAGATTGGGCTAGACTGGCTAATCAGCAAGCCCCAGGGATCCTCCTGTCTCCACCTCTCCAGTGTTGGGGTTACAGGTGTGTGCTGCTGGATCAGACTTTTCTTATGGGAGCTGGGGATCAAAATTTAGGTGCTCATGCTTACATAGCAAGCACTTTACTGACTGAGCCATCTCCCCAGCACCCCCTACCCTCTTTTTTAATTACTTTGTATATCCTTTCTGAAAGTCTAAAATGTGTTTGTATTTTGGCTTTCTACTTGCTATCTAGAGTTATAACTCTAAAAACGTACACCGTCATCAGTCTGAAAGCCACACCTATCAATACACCCAGGTCTAATATATGACTCAATCTCTTCCTTGTTGGAATATTTTTACAAGGTCTCCAGAAGTAGAGTGAGTCTGAGGCACAACTTCTGTTTTGTTTGGTTGTTTTTTTTTGACTCAAGGTCTTATTATGTAGCTCTGGCTGGCCTCAGAGTATGTGGCAATCCTCCTGCTTCAGCCTCCAAAGGGTTGTAATTACAAGCATACACCACAACTCCCAGCTAACAACTTCTTGGAAACGCTGGTTCTCTTCGTGCCCCCAGCCTCTTCTTTCCTCAGCTGGATTACTTCTCCCTTTCCAATATGCCCAAACCCAGAACCAGGGACTTAAGACTCCTTAAAACCAAAGGCCTTTCATATTTTACAAGCTGGTATCCTTAAGCATGTCTCACATCATAATGCAAATATGCTTAAGAAACCATTTAAAGTTAGGTAACTATATTTTAACAGAGAGGAACAGTTTATCCTCTGGAAAAATACTCTGATGGAATGTGGGGCACCTGCCAGCAGATGGAGGAAAATATGAGGTACATGGAGTCATGTAATCATATTCCCTATACAGGGACTCACAGAGAAGGATGGCTCTCATCCAATACACATGCAAATGAGAACCACCCTGCCCCCACAGACTCTCACCCATAGA